AAAGAGTAGCCCAAGAGTTGGCGGTGGGTGGTGATGACTAGCTGCCTTCCCTCTAGTCTTACACTGCTAAATTAGGGACGGCTAGCGCAGATAGCCCTCGTGTAGCTTTGCGCGAAATTCCAAAACAAACAAACAAATTGTATGATAAAAAAACGATAATTTAAAAAAGAAAAAATCGAAAAAAAAGTGGAGGAGTCGGCTGCAAAAAAGGAAGCGGGCGGGGACGCTAAAAAAATTTTTTTTTTTTACTTGGCCTAAATGTGGATGTTATAATTAGCTAGCAAACTATACATTGTCAACTACTCTTTTGATTTGAGATTTTAAAGGTTGGTTGTCCTGCTACCATTCATTTATATTGTATTTTAAAGTACGAAAACTGGATATAAGAGAAGCTTTCCAGTACTCTTTATTACACACTATAAGATAATATATCTCTTTTATAAAAGGTTGTTGTTGTCGTGCAAAGCTACACAATAAGCTATCTACACCGTGTCCACAGTTGTGAATCAAGCCCCGGATTTTAGCATTATAAGCCTGTCAACTTACTGCTGACCTGTCGGTGGGGGGGGGGGGGCGTATTTTATAAGGATATTTAAAAACAAATAGTTAAAGTGGCGAACATTGACAACATGGTTAAATAAATGGGACACATACTAAACTTTTTCTCACCTCTGCATCTGGCTTAGGTTGTTGGTTAGGACGCTTAACTAGCAATCTGTTTTATGTAGTTTTCTTTCATATAGTTAATTCTGGGCTAGCTGTCCCTAATTTGGAAGTGATAGACTAGAGAGAAGGCAGATAGCCCACACCACCCACCGCCAATTTTTTGGATGTACTGTCGTGCAGGTTATACCTCTTCTAATTTAACGAAGGTAAAATGAAAAGTTAACATGGCACGTTTCAGGACACACCCGTTATATAATAATCCAGTAATATGCGCCGTCTAACGAAAACGATTCCTGTTCGAACCGGAATTGAGCCTGGAGGTACATGACAATCTCCATTATATCTAAGCAGGTGTATAAAAAACTGAATTACTCGTATTTTCCAAGTTAATTTGATCATTATCATCGTTGGTTTTAAACACTTAACTGTAGCAGCCGTAGACATGAGAACTTTATGGGGGAGCAGTCATTTGGAACGAGCACAACATTCATGGGATTAAAAAACTGCCTCTTTTTTATATATCGATTAATTCGACTAAGTATAAGAAAATAATTTCTAATGTGGTCTGATTTTAATATTACAATCAGGGCTATGAACAATACTAACAATGGTAACTCTACAATATATTACTTAGTTAGTATGAAGCTTCTCTGTATTTGTAGTTAGCAGTACTAATACGAGAAATTCAGTGCCAATGTTTGAAGGAATATTTTCCCATGTATTCAGATGGCTCTGCTATTTATTTATATATTTTTTCCAATGATTTATAATCCTCATCGACATTACCAGTGATATGTAAACTATCGTTTTTAATCCAATCACTCTATTATAATTTTTTTTCAGGTGTTTATCAAATTCTTCTCTTTTCGGAAGGATTCTAATGGGAATAAAATTTTCAACAAAAAGATAAATAAAATGAACGAAAATTACGCAAACATGGACATTGAAAGCATTACATGTGAACATGTCGTGGGGTCAGGCTCAATTCCATCCTTTGCCGGCCCTCGCCCACCTAGATCCGCTGGTGAGTAGTAACAACAGTGTTCCATGCCCTCCAAGTAATAAGGCAACGTTTGAATTACATGATAAAATTAAGAGTTCACAATCGTTGCCTGCACATTTAACGTGTTATTTAGCTTCACGGCATAGGATTCTCGAGATTTGTTTGTCATGAAATGAAGAGCATATTTTATGTTTTCTATAGTTTCATCTAAGGATGCTCGACAATTTCATAATAAAAAGCACGTCTTTTTCTTCTTCTGTTTCGAACCCTCCTCATTTATCCGGGTTTGGAGCTGGCATGCTCAGTCAGAAGAAACATGGCTGAGCATAGTAAAAAGTATATGTCAGACGCTTAATGTTTTTTAACTTTCATGTATAGAAAGAACACATGGATGTTCAATTAGCACATGGTAAAGGATCTTTAGTTTCACGTGGAGAATTCGTATGATTCGCAAGAATTTTAATGTTTAAATACTGTATAGTACAAGGCAATGGTCAGACCTTCAAGAAATTTTGGTTTTGATTATTAAAAGAAAGATTAATCTTAATATTGCGCGTGTATTTTTGTATAGTCATACAAATAGACTATACAGTGTATATTGTTTTTGATAACAAATGTGAAGAACATTATACGATTCTACTACATTTTGATGTTTTATTGAATGGGACAGATATTTGGCGGATATTCGTGTTTTGATGCTTTCTTAATGGTTTGTTTGTTTATTTTTGAATTTCGCGCAAAGATACACGAGGACTATCTGCGCTAGCCGTCCCTAATTTAGCAGTGAAAGACTAGAGGGCCTCAGCTAGTCATCATCACTCACCGCCAACTCTTGTGCTACTCTTCTACCAACGAATAGTGGGATAGACCGTCACATTATAACGCCCTCACGGCTGAAAGGGCGAACATGTCGGTAGAACGTGGATTCAAATCCGAGACCCTCAGACTGCGAGTCAAGCGCCCTAACCACTTGGCCATGCCGGGCCTTTATTGAATAGGACAGATATTTGGAAGAATCGTATAAACCATTTCGTATTTTGATGTTTTATTGAACGGTACAGGTATCTGACGGAATCTTATAACCAATTTCGTACTTTTTATGCTTTATTGAATGGGATAGATATTTGGCGGAATCTTATAAATCATTTCCTAATCTTGATGCTTTATTGAATGGGACAAGTATTTGACGGAATCTAATAAACAAAACAGTACAGCCTCAAACCTTTCAGTACCAATATTTATCTCTTTTAAGAGTAAATCTTTTATATTCTTAAATGCCCACTTCTCAGAGTTAACGGCTTTCATTTCTATTGCATTTTTCCCCATTAAAATAAATCACTTAAATTCCTGAAATTCTAGTACTTTGATTTTACAGACAAGTTTATTTCAGATGAAAAATAAATCATTCGGGTTCTATAATTAACGTTATCAAATTAGGACAACTACATAAAACATGCTTACGTTGATAAAACATACCGAACAACTTTGTATCACGGAATTATATGAATTTCAAGTTTTCTTGGAACCGAGTACAATATATTAAACTAAAACTGGGATAATGTTTGACTTTGGATAACA